TATCACACCAGAAAGCCCTGTGGCCGCAGCTCCAAATGTGGTAAGATTGGTAAGTAGTCCTAACTGTGAAGGAATTTCTCCTGTTAGATAAGGAGTACCTCCTATTCTGAACTGCTGGAGGGACACCAGTGAACCCAGTTGAGAAGGTATTGAGCCATTGATGAGATTGTCTTGTAGACAAAGAACTTGCAGTGAAGTGAGGTTAGCTAGTTGTTGAGGAATCCTACCAGTCAATCTATTTGAATTCAAGAAAAGAAACTGTAGTAAAGAAAGTTGGCCGAGCTCTTGAGGAATGGAACCTGAGAGAGAGTTAGACGAGAGGTCTAAAAGGCGAAGATGATTAAGTTCACCAAAGGAAGGAGGGATTGTTCCTGAAATATTGGTGGAAGAGAGATTGAGAAGTTGCAAGGAAGAAAGAGAGGACAGTTGTGGCGGTAGAGAAGAGAGATTGAGGAATGTGTTAGGTAGAGAGAGGGAGATAACTCTGTCTTGTGGAGAACATGTTATGCCTTGCCAGGAACATGGAGTTTGGCTTTTTGGGTTCCATGAAGAGAGAATCGATGAGGATGCTCTTGCAGATGGGCTCGCAGATGATAGAAGAGAGAGAAGGGCTTCTCCATCAGGTGAAAGAGAGGTGACAAAAAGTGTTCTAGTTATGGCTATGCTAAAAAGGAACAGAAAGAACAAGAAATGGGTCCTTACAAAATGGCTAGGCCTTGCCATTTGAGCTATGAAAATGGCTTGGAGATGAAAACTAAGAAATGGGATTGAGAGAAGAGAGGCTTCTTGAGAGGTTGTCTTGGTCTTGGTGGAGGTGACGGTGCTAGTAGCGAAAGTCCACTTCTAGCAGACAACATGCATGTGAGAGCGCTAGGTTTCTCTGGACGTGAGGTTTGCTTACATTTTACACCAAACTGTTGAACTTGAGCACACATTTAGCGATGAAACCATGCATGTGAGCATCGAGAAAAAGATATGTACCATAAATCTCCATTAGAAGCCTGTATTTAAAAATCAAGTCATAGCACTGATGGTGAAGAAAACATTACCAACAAAGAAAAAAATAAGTCCCCTCTAGGTGGTGGCACCAAAGACAAAGAAAAAGCTGTGACAGGTAGTAATGGTGAGAAGCTTTTGAAGGCTAAGGTCCGCCAGGGCATACACCGTGAGTGTTGGCGATGGCAGTTACGAGTTCACGATAAAGGGTGGTGGAGGCTGGCTGATGGTGATGGATTAGCTTTGAGTTTTTGAATGAGTGTGTTGCCTAGCCGTGACTTGCTTGTTACCTATGATAGTCTAGACTTTGAAAGACTGCATTTCCTCTAACATTTAAATGCCAGTGCTTATTTTATCTAAGCGATTTGGGCGACACAAATATTTTTAATTGGCCGGTATTGCCCCCAATTATCTATTCAACAGTAATTATATCATATTGGCCGAAAAGAAAAAACAATAACTATGTTCCAACTCAACCCTTGATCTCTTTGCAGTAATGGTGACCAAAATTTTAAGCATCCTTTGTTTCCTTCATCACCAGGTTTACACGTGTCATCATCAAAGACAATTCCGCATTTAGCTGGGACCCCTTCAGGTGGGCCCTGATGAGAAGCAGAATCCAATGGTTGAACCTAAGATGTTAATATTGGCTTATACAAAACACATTTGATTATTTTCACATGCATTTTGAATAATGCAATTTACGAATTCAAGAGTAAGGGTTTATCCTCGGCATATTTGACACTTGTACTAATGCCAAAACTCACTTTTTCTAAATAACCATGTTAACTTTTCATATTCGTTTTTAATGACAAGTTTTTCGGAGCTTAGACATCAACATATTCACAAGATATATATTTTTTTGGTCGAGATATTCATAAGATATTTAATACTATTGTTTAAAAAATTAAACTCATTTCTTTTGTTAAATAATTTTACTTATAAAAAAATAATTATAAAATTTTAATTATAAAAAATTTTAAAAAAAATTAAAATGGGGGTAAATTTTAGTTTGCTAATATATAGCAATATTAATATGGAAAAAGAGAGATGGAATCAAGAGTTTCAGTATCCATATCCCCTTGGGCAGGGGCAGAAACAAAGCATGCCTAGGGAATACAAGACTCTGGTGACAATAGGATAGGAGTAAGGCAGGCAGCTTTGGAGAATGCGAAAGGCAAAAGGGTTAGCAGCAAGTAAACTAATTTCAATGTCTTTTTCTCTCTGTTTATTTTAGTACCTATCTCTAACTATGTGTCGGTGTCCATAAACGTCTGCTTAGTTTTTATTTTAAAGAGTTAGGGCTCAAGGGTGGCGTGCAGATACAGGAAAACTCGCATAAGAAATTTTGGTGAAGGAAAGAAAAAGGGGGGTTTTTTTTTTTACTATGGGGATGGTGAGATTAAGTAAGGTAAGTTTGATTTGATTACCGAGGAAAGGGTGGTGGGTTTGTTTTGGGAGTGGGGCAAAAGAAAAATCTGTAAAACGTGGGGTCACATGAGATGAGAGAGAATGGGGATTTTGTTGAATAAATTAGGGCACTGGTTTCAATTTTGGCGTTTATTAGAGTTTTTTCTTTTTGGGGGGTTTTTGACGGAACATTAATGTCATAAAATTTTTGAAGCAGATAATACGTTAATTTGGTGTGTAATGACTCTTTTATACCTTTGTGAAGTTAGATTGGATGGGTATTTTTGGAATTATGGTTATTTTAATATTTTTGTTTATTGGATGCTCAAAATCAAGTTCTGTATGACACCAAAGCCCTAGTTACTACTGTACTTGTTTTGCGCTTGGGTCCTTGAAGTCGAAAACAGATAATAATTAGGCTCAAATAACAAGCCCGATTCCTAATTCTAACCTCCGTTTCATGCCTAGGGTTCACCCTTCTTACTTAGCTAACTGCAAGATGTTATGTACAAATAAAGTGGATCGAAAATAATGATATTATGCTAAATAACATGTATATATATAGTTTGCATAAAATGTGGATTTGATAAATATTTTATTAGTAGTAAGTAAAATCTTAAGATTCGGATGATAAAATCATAAATTAACATAACTATAATAATATAACCTATGATTATAATATTTGTACTAAATATATTCTGGGGAGGTCCAGCCAGTTCCCCATAAAAGATGCAAGATCCATACAATTATATGTTAATGCGCCGCTACATTTCAATTTCATATACTAACTTCTTAAACTTTTTTTTTTTTTGAAATTAACTTCTTAAATGCTTTTACATAAAAAAAATTTTTTTTTTCATATGTATTTTAATTTTTATTTGATTATTAGAAATTAGCCAGGGTTATGCTAAATGATGCAAATCCAATTCACAAGGGTTTCGTTCATTTTTTAATTGATTATAGTTTAAGTTTTGGTAAAACATTTTAAAATATAAATCTTAAATATATTAAGTCGACATAAAAAAAAAAAAAAACAGCTTTAAATTTAACTCGAAAAAGAAATTAGATTCAAGTAAAATTTAGAATATGATCTTTCACCTTATTATAAAAAAATAAAAAAAAATAAGAAAAGGATATGGCATAATATCTATACGTATAAATAATGTATACAAAATTTAAGATTAAAGGTTTAATATCTCTTGTTATCCAAGCTATAAATTGAATTGGCTGTTTTGGGGACATTTGAACATTTAAGTCATGAGTGCTTAATCTTCAAGATAAAGTATGCAATTGAAAGTGTTTCATTTGACGCCTTAATTTGTCTCCTTAAACTTAATCAATTACGAAAATTAATTAATATAATATGCAGCTCCTTTTAAGAACAAGCCTTACGATTAAAAATATGCAAATTACACTGGCACTCAGTCAGTCAGTCAGTCCACTGAGATGCAAAAGAGCTGGACTTAAGCCTGCCAAAATGGACTTTGGTCTGCGCACGGGGAACCTCCAATTTTATATACTAACAACATCTTCTATTTCTTTTATATATATATATATATATATTTCATGAGTAATTGTGTTTTGCTTTTAAACAAAATCCTTAAGTTTTTTTTTTTTTTCATTCGTGAATTATAAAAGAATTAAAATGGAACCATATTAATGAAAAAAACAAAAACTCTTATGCTAGAATCATAAATATTATATAACCCCTTGTGTCAGATAAAACTGACACTAAAGAGTACTGTATGCCATTAATTTTCTTAATTGTCTTTGTCTTCAAGTTCATGGAGCCCCTAACCCTATGTATGTAATTATAATTAGGGCATGCATGTCCAACAACTTTGTTCACTTAGATTCTATATATGAAACGGTAGATTTTTAATGTAAAAGCGAACAAACATTATTATTATTATTATTATTATTATTATTAAGAGAAAAAAACATGAAGAAGACAAAAAGGGTGGCTCTCAAAAATGAGGTGGGTTTTAAAAATTAATTTTAAGACAACTGATCGTTAGGGTTGGTAAAGGGTTTGATAACTTTTGCCATAAGTTTTATATTCGAAAACAAAAATACTGAGTTTCAAAGACATATTTCTGAAATCCCGCTTTCAGTGTAGACTTTTCCAACCTCAAAATAATTAAATAATTAAATAAATAAAATTCATGCATTGGAATGCATGCATTTTTAGTATAGTAGGTGTACGGGGGACGAAATAGTATTGCTAGTGTATTTGACAAATCTTTTCACTTTACTGTGGTACGGGGGACTAAGAAAATTGTTGAACCTCAAAATGTCTTGTAGGGCTACGGCCAATTAAAGCCCAAAAAAGTACTTTTGGTGGAATTTACCACACTTTGCAATGTTATTGGCAATAGCCATGGAAAAAACAAAAAAAAAATTGGCCAAGGCAATCAGAAAGTTTGCTTAGTTAGTGGCTATACCTTTGCAGAGTTACTAGCCCTTGGCCTTGGGGCATAATTTTGCTCAATTCAATGCCTTCAATTGATAAAACTAACATGGGAACAGACACCTAGAAGAAGTATTTGTCTTGGCATAACCATAAACTGATTTGCTGGGCTGGTTTTGGCTGTTCAAAATTTCACATTAATACATTTGGTATCTTAATTAATGTGATCTGAAAACTAAAAATTTATTCCTTTCCAGGTTTTCTCCAATGCCATCAGTAACAAAAAAAAAAAAAGATGCAAGTTTGTGTACAACATTTGAACAATGGAGATTACTTTGATGCAATGATCATTGTGTACACTTCTATTTCAATTTCCTTTAAAGCGGATTATACATTGGTGATCTGAAGTAGAATGCAGGCCAGAAAAGATTTCTCTATTTCCAACAGAATGGCCAAAGATGTTCACCTTTCTTTCATGCAAAGTAGAACATCATGTAGATTTCACAAAGGCCAAAGGGTTGGGCAGTAAGACTCAACATCTCCCTTTTTTACAAGTTCGTAATCTGGCAGTGCAACCTTAAAAGTCAACTTGATTCATTCTCTTTCAAATTTGAACCACTTCCAATTTGCATACAGAGTTTCTTCATTCTCAAAAGGTAAAACATCACTTGGAGGAGGTTCTATGTTATGAGCTACAGAAACCGCAGGTAGATTTTGCCTGTACTTCTTTGCCATCTCTTCAGCCTCAGAAAATACTCGCTGTCATAACATTAATTATCAATTATTGTGACTAACTTAAATCATATCAGACGTTCCTCATAAAACCAATCATAATTTTACCTCTTTGCTAGATATAAATAGGCCAGGCTCACTTTCAAGTTCAGCAGTACTGCAAGACGCATGAGAAAAATTATATGAGCATTTATAAACTTCCGGACAGATATAAGTTTACATATGCATGTCAAATATACTGTTTTATTTTATCCTCTTTCACCTGCTCAAATTTCCAAACATAAAACAACATTTTCATGTGCTGGATTTAGGGTTTAACAAACATTATCAAACCTATGATATATATGATAGGGAAGTGATAGTAAAGACATGAAAAAACAAATAACTAGACCATCTATCGAGAGATGTAACAGGAAATATTCACCAGAGGACATAGAAATCTGCTCAGAATAAATGGTGAAGATCTGCATATAGCAAGATATAAACAGAACATTTTATTTCATTTTTTCCCACCTATAACACAGTATAAAACTTGGTTACAACTTACAAGCCATTCTAAGTCTAAATACATTTGTTTGTGCATGCACAGATGTGCCACTTTGCAGGTAAATTTCCATCATGTGCAAGGAATTTCATAAATTCAAATAATTGAATCAGATAATGTCTCAAGGAAGAGAAACTGTACTTCGGAAGAAACAGCATTCAAAAGTCAGAAACAATTGGAATAGCAAAGCTCTCAACATAGTCCTATTACCTGAGAGATATTTTGTCAGGAAAGAGTGACTTCACAACAAGAACCTTGATTTTCTCCCCTTCTTTAAGCAATTCAGCAACAGAAGTAATTCGGGTTTTACTCATATTTGAGATATGGAGCAACCCACTGCAACACAGTTGAAAATTCAGAGTAATTTACGACAGTAGCACAAGAAAAATGTTGAAACTTAACACATAAACAAACAATTATGCACAGACAACTCATATAATTGAGAAGCATATCAATTAATAAGTGCAAAAGAAAGTACTCATTTAGAGTCAAATGAGAAGCCTTACAAATTTACAGTATAACTACGATGAACGAGGCGGTGTAATATCAGCATTGTAAAAGGTACTTTCCAGGCACACATCAGAATATGCCTCTTGGCCTGGCATAATAAAATTGTGCCAAGGTGCAGTGCAGGAGGCATTTGAACTGAATGTTTACAATTTTTGAAAATTTTCCTTTTAATGCTAAACATTATTTATCAAATGTTTACTATTTAAATATAAAAGTAATGCTCAACAGACTTATGCCTGATGCTTTGGGGCCAATGCATTGCCTCACCAAGACAAATGCCTCAGTCTAATGCTTTTACCTCTAAAAACAGGGCGCATGATGTTTGGGCCACTATAAAATACAGACAGATTTTCACCATTTTTTTTTTATATCTTTTCACCAAATTTTCTTTCTTTAAAACACGGTTGTAAAAGTTTGAGACAATGAATTTGTCATTGAGCCTTTATGATGTGCCTATCAGACTTGCTTATTTAGCTAAATGTTACGTAAGAAAAGCCACTTCTATATTTCCAATGAATGCAATAGGGGATAAAGTGAGCTTATAGAGCTTGCCAAACATGATTCATGCAGCATTTACTCAATCTTGTCTGCTCCAGTCATTTTCTCTCACCGTCAAATAATCTTCGTGTTAAATTATATACTATATACTAAATCTCAATCCAAAATCACTGTCCATTCTCTCACATTTCATTGTTAGAGGAATAGTACCACCATATTTGTCTTCTCTGATATTTGATATGGTTCATTTTCCCATTCTGCCTCATCTTCTAGATGCATATTTCCCCCTTTCTTTTTTGTCTGTTCTCTTGATTTCTTTGTTGTTTTTTCTGTTTTTTTAACTGTTTTATATTACTTTACCAGCATAATAGACTACTTTTTTTGTACACATGAGGGGCATAGCCCATGGGGAAGAGGAAGTCAGTCTTGGTTCGAAATCAAGACCCCTATATCCCCCTAAAGCTCCTTAACCACTAGGTCAAGGAGTTGAGGACATAATATACTACTTTATCAATACATATACTGTTTTCTATTTTTCATAAATTAAATTATTAAGTAAAAATATTAATTATAAAAATGGATTATTTTAAATTTAAATTGAATTAATATTTCTATAATTATTAGTTTTTATTTTTTTGAGTGACTTATTTGTAATATAACTTTCACTAATTTTTTTTACCCAATTAAAATATACTACATGGTTTTTTAGTTATGAATGGCATTGATGGAATAATAGATTTTAGCTGCAAAAGTTTTTACTTTTAATTTTAACCACCAATTTTTTTTTTAATTTGTATCATATATTTGATTTAATTATTTTCTCAAATTTCAATATTATAGTTCAAATCCAATTGCAACTAGATAAAATTTTCATGCGTCATTTATTAGTTTTTTACTAATATTGTTGATTATTGATTTATGATAAATTATTATCCCAATACAATAGAAGGATTGAATCTAAATTTGTGTTCTTGAAGCCAATAATTTAAATACTTGAAAAAAATAATTGAAAAAAAATAATTGAAGTAATCTAATTGTTAAGTAACTTCTAAATTCAATTTCACCAACTATCTCAATAATTTATTTTCAAATGCACATGATAAATCTTTATTTATCTTTAACTTCAATAAAATCTAAATCTTCTATGAAATCAATATTTTAATTTTAAAACTTGATAATAATAAAAAAAAAATTGTTTTAACGTTGTTATATTGCAGCAATGCACAAGCCCTTGAGCTCATAAAAACTAAATTGAAAGCTCAAAACGTGTAGGAACTCTTAACATTCATATAATTTTATCCATTCACCATTTAACATCCCTCTTCCCCTGCTCGTTGCCTTCCAATTTCCATTCTCCTCCACCCTTTTCTTTTTACTTCTTTAAACAAGAATCTTTAATTAAAATATTATCAGAAAGCTCTCACACTATCTTTTCATTAATTTTTATGATGTTGATGACTTTATCTTTACATGATAAGATAATAACCGCACAAACCATATACATTTGCATTAAACTTGACATTAGGATCAAAACAATAAAGTAGCTTTGCACTCACCTTCTATTGGAATCCCCTATTCTTACTTGGGCTCCATATGGTAAAATTTTCACAACAATTCCTTCCAAGAGTGTTCCATCTCGAAGGTTCAGCATTTCCTGCAACATTTTAATATCAGCAGCCCCCTATTTTTAAAATAAAGTGATAGAAACCAAATGCCATATTCAACAGAAAAAGAATGAGGAACAGCGAGGCAATAGTTACTAACCCAAGCTTCCCTCTCGCTCAGTCTTAAGTCATTGTTAGCCTCATCTATACGGGTAACTTTCACATACATTCTGCAACCAACCTATAACATAAATGAAACAAGTCTTAAGAAGCACAGAATCAGTGAAAGAAACAAAGAAATGTAGATAGAACAGACCTATATCCAATTGTGTAATTATTTCCTTCTTATCACCATCACGCTTCTATTCTTCTTCTTAGTACTGTTACTTTTACCAATAATTTTTTTATTTCGGCGCTACTTTAAAGGCTGAAACTCCAAATTTCAAATTTTTTTTGTTTGTTATTCTTCAAATTCTAATGAATTCCTTCATGGATCATAAACCTTATTGATTAAAATCATTCTCTTCAAAGAATGCTTTTAACAGAACATTGATTTAGGAATGCCACTTGCATAACTAGGTGGCTTGTCGTGGAAACTACAACAAGGAAGAACATGATCAAGGGGGAATGACAAGGCATGCCATATGATAAATATATAGAGGCAAATCATTTGTTATGCATTCAGAGGGATTTTATGATACAGGCAAAACTTCTTTTATTTTCACCTAGAACAAAATAATGATAAACAGTCCAGCATCAGAACTAGAAAGGTTTGGTTGCCTAGATCCTCAACCAATGATAAACATGCATAAGGCCTTGAAATATCCTCATTTTCATGAAGAAAATTATTCCCTCCATGAAATAATTCCCCAAAACTCCTAAAGAAAATCATATAAAGAATATATAAATGATAAATACGTATATCAGAATCAGAAGCACTACTTAAATGCATAAAGTGCAACTATATCTGGCTCTAACTTATTAAGTTTAGATAATATTGTTCCATCTATAGATGGTTTTAGACTAGAAATGCTCTTTTACTGGAGTTATGCCAAAGCCGATTGATGCATGATAGTGAGCCATGACACAGAACAGAAACAGAACTCAGTTACAGAAATTCCCATGACAAGAAACTTACATATTCTTTCAACTCAGAGAAGTTGTTTACCCTCTTCATCAACTCAGCTTTTGGAAGGAAAGCTCGCAAACCCTGCAAGACCATGTCTGCAACGTGTTTCACATTGACACACATGCAGAAGCACATAATAGAAATGGGACACACGAACCTCAATTCTTGTCAGCAGACCACCTGTATTCCACTCTGTAAATTTAACCTCTATAGGTTCATTGAGTTGTTTTATCTGGCCAAAATTCAGATTAAATCATTAGTTAAGTTCAAAAATTGAAGACTCTTTAAGGTTTTTTGGATGCTAATCTTTTGTAGTTAACAAGTTGAAAGAACAAGTAGATTAATTATCAAGAGATCCCCATTCTTGTTTATATGTAAGAGCTAATATTGTCTTAGAACTTCAAAAATTCAAAATAAAAGCATAGATATGTTTCCATTAAGCAAATACGAAGTCATCAAGCATCTCAGAGTATAAACATGAAAATCACCAAATTTACTAGGAAGAAAGAAAAAAGTGAGATGAGAACCTGCCTCACTCGATGCCAAGCAATCCTCCTGAAGAGCCGTCTAGTTGAGAGCAAAGGCCGACCGCTAAGTGTCCTTCCAAGAACCTCAGCGAACAGCACAGTTCCAGTCTCAACCACTGGCCTTCCAGGCACTGGCCCCCCACTCATTGCATCATCATCCTTAAAAATTCCCATCTTCCCATAAACCATAAACTCCTCAGCTTTATTTTTCAAATCACACGTCAAATATTCCATCTCTTTATCATACAAAGGCAGCACCTCTTTTGTCAACATTGTACCCAACATGTCAGCCCCAACATTCACATCAAGCTTATTCTCATTACCAGAAACAACAACACCTACCACTAAGTCACCAGGTTTTGGCTCATAGTATTCAACACCAATCTTCTCCACCTCATCATTTTTCTCCTTAGAAACTCCTAATTTACCTCCTCCCTCCTCTACTTCTAATGATTCTCTAGGTCTAAAGAATTTCAAAAAAGGCTCCAAAGCCTCATCTTTATCAGGTTTGTCAGACTCTTTATCAACATTCAAAGGTACTGGATTAGGCTTATTAAGCAGTTCGAGCTCCTCATTCTCTCGAATTCTACTATCACTTTCAAGTCTTTCAGGCAACTGGGTACTTGAAAATTCATCAAAGCTATCATTTTGAGAGCAAAAAATAACGCGGGTACTTCTCAAAAACGCAAATTTACTCGAAAAAGACAAAGCTTTTGGTGTCAGAGTAGTGGTAAAAGAGTGACAAGAGTGAGTTGTTTTAACAGAACATTGGCAACTTGGGGCACCATTAAAAGCAACGTATTGACTTGAAGAGTTGAGAAACGAGAATGACTTACAGGGCTGAAGCAGGGTTTGCATCTTCCTTATCCTGCTCGCACCTCTCTACCTCATCAGTGCTCTCCCTCTCTCTCTCTCTCTGATTTTGGACTTTAGAGTTTGATATATTTTTTTTATTCTCACTTTCGACAAAGTTGAATTTTCCAAGGTTGTTTTAGCCCTTTGGGCCTGCTGTAGTCCAAACTTAATTATTTCAAGCCTTTGTTAGACCCAATTTTTGATATTTTGGAATTTCTGTTTCATATTTAGGCTTGCCTTTGCTAGCAGCCTTCAACTTCGGTCCAATTATTATTATTATTATTATTATTATTATTATTATTATTTGATTTGCTCCTTTCAATTGTCTCACTAAAAAATCTTAAGCATCCTAATTAGAAGAGGACCAATCTTGAAATGTTAGACTAGGTTTGTTCCTTGAATTGAAAAGTAATTACACATGTACATTTCATTATTGAAACCTCAATTCTTTTTGATAATTTTGACACCTCAATTTGTTGTGTGTAATAATCCATCATGTGGTATATGCCGATTTGTGACCCTCCAAAAATTCTAATAAAAAATATATATTGACTATTTTATAGCAACCCATTTAGAAAAGTGGGGGTTAAAAATGGACGGTGCTACTTGCAAACTAGAAATCTAAGATGCTTATGTTTGATTGCATGTGCTACAGAAAACAACTTTTTTTTTTTTAAATAATATTAATTAATTAGTTAATTAATAATAGTAATGAGGTAAGACAAGCTATAGTTTTCTTATGATAATGATAATAATAATAATAATAGTAAAAGAAATAATTATTATTTTTATAAATTGGATATATCAGAACAGCTTGTTTAATTAATTATCCTTAAATTTGATTTAATCTTATTTTTATTGCACTTGTTAATTAAGTGTCATTAATAGGTATAAGTGGCATGAAAATGGAGGCGATAGATTTAGAAAGTTAATTTGTATTTTTTTTGATGTAAATCATTGAAAGAATCACAAATTATATTTTAGTAAACTATCCCAATGTTAATATCATTGTTCATCAACCACATGTTGACCTTTAATTTACTCCATCAAAATGCTAACACGTAATATATTTTCAACAACAAGATTAGTTTAATTTAATTAAGCTTGGTCTAACCTTCCAACGATAATAGTTAATTTATACTACCAAAGAAAATTACCTATAAAACAACAAGACAAGGCAGATTTTTTTTTCTTTGCAAATCAAATCAAATCAAAAGGCAAAGACAAAGAAAGAAGAAGGAGAAAATCAAAAACAATATTTCTCTCCAATTTTCCGTCCTCCATTTGTATCATTGGACCACAATCTTGGTGGCAATCAGAATAAGTTGTTGGAACCAAACTATATATCCAAAGTCAACAAATTGATCTCATTGGTTTTTGGATTGTGTTTTTTTTTTTTTCAAACTTCCTTTTCTTTTCTTTTAAATTAATTTCCAGGAAGAAAAAAAAAATATTATTGTGTCATAGGAGATACGACCATTTTACAGTGTGATCACTCGTGTAGTCTTTTCTATTTCAATTTTCTGTTTTGAATTTTGATTTTATGAGAGAAAGAAATTGTTGAATTATAATGGATGACGTTCTGAAGAGAACTTCAAAGATGGATGTAACATTATATTATGGGATTTGATGCAACAATTGTTATCCCTTTTTTTGAGAAAAATAGTAAGGTTTTTGAAACCTTTTTTTCCCGTTAATATTTCTGATCATATGTATTTAAACAAATAATCTTATAAAAATTCAAAAGGTGAATCAATATCCTGGAAATTAAGGTTGTGAAATATAGAAATTCATCATTCCTTCTAACAGTTGTCTGATTTGTTAGTAAAATCTTTAACAGGTTTGAATATCAAAATAGTAATAATAATCATTGTTCGGCTCTAAGATGGGAGGAATTAATTGGAGCTTTGGTTTTTCTTAAAAACGAGGCAAAGTGAAGAGTGATGATACAAATTTGACATTCTCTTCTAAATATGATCACAAAGCTAAAATTCTCCCATTGCTTCAGCTTTTGTCTTGCTCCTATATATGTAAAAGCAAACAAAAATACATAAGCCTCGTTTTTTTTTTTTAAATCTTTTTAAGAGTGTAAACGAATTAATCAAACATAAATGAATTAATTATGTTCGTAATATATTCATTTAATTAATAAATTTTAAAATATTATTTGTGATTATTTATTAAATTTAATAAATAAAATAAATAAAATTTATTTATGAATTATTTGTCAATGTTTTATCCATTTACATTTTAGATGTGAACGAATTTTATTATATTTATTGTCATAACATATAAATTCGAACATTTACTATTAGACTTAACTTTAGAAAATCGCCATTAATTTTTTTTGTATAGATATGATAGGCCACTTAACTAAATTTGTTTCATTTTGAAGAGGTATTCTAAGCTTCACTTAAGTATATTTAAAATGTAAATTTATGTCTATAAAACCAGAACTAGGTTTAAAAGTATGGTTATGTATGAAAAATGTTATAACACCTCCACATTGCCCACCCAAAGAATAGTATCAACTTAATTTTGTGTTATCTAAAAGCCTAAAAAACTTACCAAGTAATTTAATATTGAAAATATCCTTAAATTACTAAAATATATTGGTAATAATTCAAGAACATACTCTCACCTCAAGAGTATTCAAAGAGACTATTTGTCATGCTTTGAAAATGCTCTGTCATCGAATTTATTTAATTTTTGTAAAAAAAAATTTATTTATGATAATTGAAATTTTCGTGAGAATCTTGATATTGAAAATATTTTCTAAATTCTCTAATATGTTAGTAACATTTAGAAAGAATTTCTCACTTAAGAATTTACATAGAGATTGCTATTTATAACGCTCATAGTAATTCCATCATCGAAGATTTAAAATATAACTTTGTGAAAATACTCTTTACTTTCAAAAATATTCTCCAATATGTTAGTAATATTTTCTACTATAAATTATCCTTCAATATGTTAATAGGATTTTATGAAAATTATTTATTTTTTAAAAGTTAATTTTTATTTAAAAATCATAAGGTTTTTTAATATGTTAATAAAACATTATCTTAAAAATCAAATTGCCTTTCAATATGTTGGCAAGGCTTTATTGAAAGCTATTTTTTCTCTTGAAATTTGTTTAGTATAAAAATTAATAAGGTTTTACAATATGTTGGTAAAACCTTATTTTAAAAATTAGGTAAGATTTTTTTATTTAAATATTTATTTTAAGAAAATTTGAACTTTTGATATGTTGATAAGGTTTTTTTATTTTATTTAAATTTTTTTAAATAAAATATTTATAGATAAATCAATAACAAATAAACAAATGACAAATAACATAGATGAAAAACAAATAAACAAATAAATAAATAACTATACATAAATAAAATAAATAAATAAATAGGAAAAAAATAAAAATACCAAGAAAATGGCTCTGCTTGAAGGTTTATAGGATGCAACTCAAGGCACAAAAGAGTGGCTTGGAGGACGTAGCTCAAGGAATAAATTAGTGGCTTGAAGGATGCAGTTCAAAGCTCAATTAAATGGCTCAGTTGCAAATCTCTATCTAATCTTGTTGATTTTGAGTTTGTATTTATAGGGATCTTTTTATAAATTATAAGAACTCTATACCAAAAATAGTTTTAATTTCCTTTTAGTTCAAGCTTCAAACTTTAATTTTAACCAAACTTTATAATCCAAAAGAACTAGTCCCAGACAAATTTGACCACCCTAAACTTTTTTGATTCTTCCTTTTTCATTTTTTTAATTTAACAAAAAAAAAACAAACAATAAATTACAGAATTAACCCCAGACAAAATAGAGTGCCTTTAGTTGCTCCTCTTTACTTATTTTTTATGAAATAAGAATTATGTAAAGATGTAGACAGCCCACATATATCCAAATAATCGACTAGACTTTTTTTTAAACTCTTTTAAACAGACACTTAAACTTTTTGAATAACATAAAGCTCCTCTAAATAGGGGCTTAACATTTGAAAATATAAAAAATCTTCCATAATAAGGGCACACAACTTTTTTAAAAAAAATAAAAGCACCTCCTAACAAAGACACATAACTTAAAAAAATAAAACAAAGGCTCATCCTAACAAAAGCACATAACTTGAAAAATAAAGGCTTATTCTAATGGAGGCATACAACTTTTTTTAAAAAATAAAAGCTCCTCGTAACAGAGGCATATAACTTTAAAAATAAAAGGTCCTCCTAACAGAGGCACATAATTTTAAAAATAAAACATCTTCTTAACAAAGGTACACAACTTAAAAATAAAGGCTCAAAAGTTTTGATGATCATACCCAAAGGTCTTATAGATCGTGTTTGAAGAAATTAGGAGATTATATCTAGAGGTATTACAAATCGTTCCTAATCTTGAAAAATGCTCATTTGTATAAAGGATCCACAACTTTAAATTTTTTAAAAATCTTTCTTATCCATAATTAATTTTCTTGAAATGTCCTTTTTTTAAGGAATAGAATCTTACCTCGAAGGTTTTTTCTCAAACAAGAATTTGAAAATTTTTCACTAGAAAGTCTTCATATTTAACTTCTCTATACGGGATCTTGCAATATCTTTGTTTCCTAGATTCATGCCTTAGACATTCCTAAATACAACGCATGCTATACAAATGTTAATTAATTTCTTTTCAATTGTGGTACATAGGTTTTCAAGCCTCTTTCCTTTGGACTTCGACATCTTCAAGCTTCAAAACAATAAGACCAAATCGATTCGATTCTCAATCATCTCTCTTATTCAATATTAGCAGCTATATCTTTCTTTTAAGGAGATCTTCATTTTTCCAAGTCTTGAACATTTCATTTTTGCTTTTATCACTCTTAACATTTCCAAGGTAATGTAAAAATCCTTCAAGCTATTATTCATTTATCAACCATTATTTTAATTTCAAGAAGTAAAAGTACAATCATACATTTTTTTCCATTGCAAGTTATTTAAGGGAAAAGCCAATGGATTAATTGGGAATAAATGGGACATAATAACTAAAAGAGAGACATAAGCATCAAAATAAAATATATCTTATTT